CCCGCCCCCCACCTAGCCCCCCACCCGCTGCTCGGCCCCGAGCCCAGGCCCCACGTTAGACGCTTGGAAGGGACGGGCAGGATCTGTGAGACCCATATACAAATATATATATTAAAAAAACAAAACAAAACAAAACCCCCCGAAACATCCATCCGTGGAGCTTCCTGCCAGAGCCGGGGCCCTGCCCCGCGTCACTCCATCTTGGACATCTCGAATTTTGTGGTCACGATTTCCTGGGAAGGGAAGCAGCGTCTGGAGGCGAAGGGCGGCAGGATTTGCCCCCCTACCCATCTTTCGCCTCCCATCCAGGTATAACCGGGCCTGCCCCTGCTGAGCTTCAGAGCGCAGATGGGAGCCCAGCCCCGGGGCTGACATTAACCCCGTCCTTCCTGCCGGGTTCCAGTTTGCTCCACGGGCCTAGCTCCGTCAGGGATCCCCTCGGAGCCCCGATGACGCCTATCCCAGCATCCCGACCGGGCTGGCAGACGGGAATAAAACCAGGCTTACCTCATCTGAGTCCAACAACGGGGGCAGGACGCTGTGGGGGGGCAGGGAAGACAAAGGGTTAGTAGAGTGGACTGTTGTGCCCCCCACCCCGCTCGAACCCGTGCTGGGAGCTGTAACACCTACACGTCGGCCATGGAGGACGGGATGTTCTCCTCCACCCACTTCAGGTCTTCGTCCTGGAAGGGAGAGCAGGGGATCAGCATGGGCACGGATACGCGCCCCCCCCCCAGAGCTGGGCGCATCGCCCACAAGCGAGGCCGAGCCCAAGCAAGGGTTCAGCAATTTAGGACAGGAAGCGAAGAGCATGCCTGCATGGTCCACCCTTCCCTGCAGCATCACAGCCCCCAGCATGGGGGTGTTGGGATCAGCACTGCTCCCCAGCCTGCAAGACTCCCATCCCGGGAAGAACCAGGCTTGACCCTGTTTAGCTTCAGCAACTGGATGGGGGACACTATTAAACCCATCCCTCCCACAGGGCTCTTCCCCCCGGGATCCCCCCGACACTCACCACTCTGCTGCCTTTGAGGTTTCCGTTGGCTTCGTTTTTCGCTCCCCGCATCTTCATGCCTTCTGCAACACAGCACCGGCCAGGCACGTCAGGGAGAGGACGGGGGCTCGGCCCCCTCTCCCCACACCCCCTGCGGGGCTGCACTGAGCCCTCTACGGGGAAGGAGGGTGCGGGGGGGTGTCCCCTATGGGTGGGGTCCTCATCTTTCTGCTGGCCCCCCTGTACTCCACTACCTAAGGAGCTGGGGAAACTGAGGCACGGGGAAGGAATGAGCCCACCAGAAGTGGGGAGAGAGCCCAGGCGCCCTGGATCCCCGGCTCCTCCCCGGCCTGGGAACGGCAGCCAGCTTCCCTGCCCCGAGCTGGGAAGCGAGGCGCCTGGCTTCCCTGGCCCCTCTCCGCATGGGAGGGAGCTCCCGGCTCACCGAAGGCCTCGTTCACCATGTGCTCCTCTTCCTCCTCCTCTTCCTCACTGCCCTCGTCCACCAGCGGCACGAAGGCGTATCTGGGAGGGGGGGGGTCACAGGGTGTTATTGGTACAGGGCGTGATGCGCACGGCTTGTTCAGCCAATCCTCCCCCAGAGTTGGGGGAGCCCCAAGCCCCACCCGGCGGCTTGAGCCGTGTCCACACTGGGGGGGTCCTAGTGTAGACAGGCCCCCGCCCCAGGGCTGTACCCCCTGCCCCCCACCTTTGGTTGTTGGCCGAGGGCCGCCAGAGGAACATGATCACGAGCAGGATGATGGAGAAGAGGAAGCGCCAGAAAGCGTCGTCGATCCACAGCTCCCGCCAGTCCTAGGGGGAGATGACGGGTGGGGGGGCATCATTGGGGGTGGGGGGCACAGAGGACACCACCCTCCCGGTTGCAATGCAGATGGGGAAACTGAG